CAAATATAGGCACTCACTCATTAGCGTGAAATTAATTCACACACAATTAATCAACCTATCAATCTATCAATGGTCAGTAGTGCCAGGCATAATGCAAGGTGCTAGCAATACAAAGGCTATGAATGCAGAAACAATTTCTGTTCTTAAGGAGTTTACATTCTAAGAATATTAACCCTGGGCCCCCTCCCACCCCTCATTGACAGTTAAAGAATGTGTATTCGCATGAGGAGATTCACACACATAGAGATACACACATATAGCTAAACTCTCACACACACATATAGGGAACTATATCTATATGGAGACATATATATGGTAGAAGATGGATGATACTAAGACCACTTCAGGTTGCTAAAGAGAGAACAACACTATGGGAAGAAACCAGGATGAGAGGAGTTGAGAGTCTTCATCATCTCCCCATCCCTCGCTGGCTACCTTAGAGACTTTGGGAAATTTCCCTTTGGCTGAAATCCGAGACTCTCTCTTGGTTGAGAGTTCCCTCCTTCCACTGGGAGAGCTCTTTCACTCTGTGTAGTCTGGTATATGTTTTCCTATGTAGACTTTCTCTGATTTTTTTTGCTATCAATTTGGATAAAAGAGTTTCTTGGCTATGCATGTTTGTTGTGGAACTGGTATTTGGTAAGAAGGAAGTCAAGCCTTGAAAACTTGAGGCGTTCCTTTCCCCATTAATGAATAGAGATCAGAAATTTAGCTTGAACCTGAAAATTACATCCACCGGACTAAGAATATTTAAGGAAAACAAATAGACATCATTGTAGACTGGTACCCTCTATCTCTAAGAAGAGCAGAGTGGCCAAGATTCTGGCTCGAACCTCCTGCTTCTCTCCTACCAGGAAATGGTCTCCCTTGGAGAAGGGTGGGAGTCGGGGAGCAGAGGCTAGAAACGTCTATTCTGTCTCCCTTTGAGCCACACAGGTATACCTCCATGCTACATGGGGCAAAGAGCCACAAGAGACCTGACCCCAAAGAGACTCTCTTTTCTCTTCTCTCCGACTCCTCCCTGTCCCTCATGCAGGCTGGGGCATTGATCTCCACTGATGAAGAGAGAGTCACCTGCTAACGGGATGTAGGACTCTGGACACATTCATACATATACACACATGTGTGCACATGTACACACAGCCCACATGTGCACACACATGCATATTGTGTGTAAAGACGTGTGTTTGTGTGTATGATTGACTGTATGTACATGTATGTATGCATATATAGATCAAGTGTATGTCTACATACATACATATATTCACACATAGGTATATGTGTGTATATATACACATAGGTATACATGTGTGTACATATACACACACTCAGTCATGCACTTTTATCTCTACAGACATACATGTTCATACTTGTGAAGATGTACACACACTGGTAATGTACTCACACAGGTAAACACATATATGTGCATGCACAGATACACATAAAAAACATTCACCTGCATACTCACCCAGGTAACATGTACACTGATACATGCATGTAAACGAGTGCACACACATGCACTCACTAGAAATAATTTGGTCAGGTGCCCCTCTGATATGTGAGTAGAGGGGTACCACTGAAACTGAGGGGTACCACTGACAGCTGGGCTGTCTAATGGGCCGGGCAGGCACAGCTGTCTTCTGGGGCTATTGGCTGCCCTGGGAAGTTCTGGCCCTCAGCCCAGGGGAGGGGCCTGGATGGTTCATTTCCGTCCTTCCCATCCCACAGAACCACATGGGCCTCTGTGGGTCTATTTTTAAGCCAAAGCTGAGCAATTTTCAGCCTGGTGCCATCACTCTTAGAGCTTGGAGAGGAGGTGGGAGAGAAGGGCGGAGTGGCTCCTTCCTCTCCGGGAGCTCTGACATCAGTCTGGGATCGGCAGGAGGTCAGAATACCTGCTAATAACAAGGAGGAGGTGACCAGTAAAAGCAGCAGCCTGTTAACACATCCTCATAGTCCACTCGCATCTACCTCCCCCAGTCATGGTGGTAAGTCTGTGCCTTCAATCCACACTGACCATAGGCTCCTAGATATAGATCTGGAGGGGGCTGTGGATGTTTCCCAGTCCAACAACTGCATTTTTACCTCGTGACCTTGACAGTTCCTTTCTACTTCAAGTCAATGATCCTGAGGAAAAGTGAGTTTCTAATCCTCCCCTTTACAGATGAGGAAGCTGAGGCCAAAGAGGGACAATGACTTGTCCAAGGCCACACAGGTAGGAAGTCACAGAACTGGGACTGAAACCTGGATCTTCTAATTCCAGACTCAGTATTCTTTCCACTGTGAAACACTGCTCTGCCCACTATCTCCAAGGGTTCTTAACCTGGTGCTCACAGACCCCCAAAGGAACCAGGGGTAGATCTCAGGGAGTCCATAAATTTGGATGGGGGAACCCACATCTTTATTTCCCCAGCCTCTAACCTAAATTTAGCATTGCCTTCAATTACTTAAAAACATTATTCTGACAAGTGGCCCAAAGACCTTATCAGACTGCCAAAGGGGTCCATGGCACCAAAAAGGTTAAGCCCCTCTGTAGTACTAGATAGAAGAAGCATCACCAGGACTTTGCCCTGCTGCAAAGATGGTATCAGAAGTCAAAATAATGCTCTTAAGAATGCCCTCAAATACTAGAGAATGGCTGAGTGAATTATGGTTATGTAATGGATATAATGAGGGACAACTAGGTGGCACAGTGGATGGAGTGCCAGGACTGGAGTCATCTTCCTTAGTTCAAATCCAGCCTCAGACACTAACTGTGTGACCCTAGGCAAGTCACTTAACCCTGTTTGTCTCAGTTCCCTATCTGTAAAATGTGCTGTAGAGGAAATGGCAAACCACTCCAATATTTTTGCCAAGAAAACCCCAAATGGGGTCACGAAGAGTCGGACATGATTGAACAACAATAGATATGATGAAATACGTTTGTGCTATAAGAAATGATAAAAGGGATGGGTTTTGAGAAACCTGGGGAGACTCATAGGACCTCAAGCCAAGTAAAACCAGCAGTCAGGAGAACAATTTATCCAACAACAATAACATTGTAAAGACAAATAACTTGGAAAAACTCAAGAATGCTGGTCAATGTGATGACCAGACAGGATGCTAGAGGAAATGCATTGCCCACTTCCTGGCAGAGAGGCAATAGATTCAAGAAGCAAAAGGACACATACATTTTGGGACATCGACAATGTGGGCATTTGTCTTTGCTTGAGAGTTTTGTTTTTCTATTTTCCTTTTAAATTGGGGGTGGGTAGGAGGAAAGGAGAAAAAATAAATACTTGTTAATAGAAAACAGAAAAAAATGTCTCCGGAGGAGCAAAAAGCATGCCAGGAATCCTTGGGAAGAAGGTTCATTCATTTTGAAAATTGCTTGGAGTCTGGTGAATTAGGAAAAATGTTCGATTTGGAGACAGAGTGTTTGGTTTCAATCCTAGAGTATTAGAGGTCATCAAATGTAAGTTCCTCCCTTTGTAGGTAAAGAAACTGAGTCTCCAGAGAAGTTAAAGGACCTGCCCGAGGCCATAGAAGTAGGGGGATAGCAGAGCCAGGATCACGTCTTAAGTAAATGGTAGAGTTGGGATTTGAACCCAGGTTCTCTGATGCCCAATCCAGTGTTCTCTCATTCCAAAATCATTCCTAGCACCATAAGGCCAGCTTTTACAGGGGTGGCTAGTGAAGTTCAACAAGTGTTTATTAAGCACTTTCTATAGGTACTGAGGCAAGTGCTAGGAAGAAAAAGACAAAAATCAAACAATTCTTGCTCTCAGTGAACTTACAATCTACTGAAATGAAACAATATGTGCACAAATAAATAAATGCAAAACATATGCAAAGTAATTTTAAGAGGGGACACCCAAACAAATGGGGGTTCAGGAAAAGGCTCTCCTAGGGGGTGGCACTTGAACTGAACCTGAAAGGGAGGTTGGGATTCCAAGAGGAAGAGGAGGGAGGGCATGCATTCCAGGAGTCAGGGACAGCCTGTGCAAAGGTACAAAGGTAGGAGATGTGTATAAGGCAAGCAGTCCAGTTTGGCCTGCATGAGGGGGTATCATGTGAAAACAGTGTGGAAAGATAGATTGGAGGCAGAGTGTAAAGGGCTTTAATTGAAAACAGAAGGATTTGTATCTTATCAAAAAGGGAAGAGGGAAACACTGAATCGACATGGTCAGACCTGGGCTTTGGGACTATCAGTTTGGCAGCTGTGTGGAAAATGAACCGGAGAGGAAAGAGACAGGAGGTAGAGAGAGCCAATCGGAAGGCTACTGCAGCAGTCTAGATGAGAGGTGATGAGGGTCTGAATTAGGCTAGTCGTCGAACAACTAGCAAGAAGTGGATGGATGTGAGAGGTGTTGAGGAAAAACAAGGAAGTTCAGAAGAAGGGTGAGTTTGGGGGGAAAGAGAATGAGTTCTGACTGGATTGACTGACTGAAATGCCTATGGAAACTCCAAGTGGAGGGTCCAACGGGTAATTAGTTATGTGAGACTAGAGTTCAGGATAAAGATGACACCTATATATGGAGATTTGGGAGTCATCTGCAGAGAGATGATGAGCTGGTGAAATGGGGATGGGAAATAGAAGGGAGAGAGGGAGAAGAGAAAAGGAGGAGAGAAGGAAGAGAGAGGAGAAAGAAGGAAAGAAGGAAGAGAAAAAGAGAGAAAGAGGGGAGGGGGAGAATGAGAGGAGTGGAGAGGAGAGAAGAGGAGAGGAGAGAATGTGAGAAGAAGAGAGAAAGAGAGAGGAGAGGAGAGAGGAGGGAATGAGAGGAGAGGAGAAAAGGAGAGAAGAAGAGGGAGGAGAGGAGAAGAAAGAGGAGAGGAGAGGAGACAAGAGGAGAGAAGAGAGAAGAGGAGAGAAGAGAGAAGAGGAGAGGAGAAAAGAGGAGAAGAAAGAAAAGGAGAGATAATCTATGGAAAGAAAAGAAAAGAGCCTAGGACAGAACTTTTTTGAGGTGACTGGGTCTTTGAAGACCAGGCCTCTGGTCTTTGAGCCTTCCACTCACTTGCCCTCGGAGCCATAGCTGTTCATACTATCCTCAATGGATTCATGGCTGGCTTGACGCAAGGTCCGACTGGGCATCTCCACGGCCAGGCCAGTCTCTGTGCTTCGTTGAATGGCTCCCTTTAGTCTCCGGCCATCTCCATCTAGGAAAGCAAGTGAAAGACAGAAAAGAGGGAGGGAGACATAAATATACATGGAGAGAAGAAAACTCTGGGAAGTTCTCTTTAGTTTCTCACCTGTACATTGTACTAAGAACAGCTTAAGACTATAGTTTCATGGAACATTGAGCAACAAGGGATTTTAGAGATCAGCTAGTCTGACTCCTTCATGGGGTCAGTTAGGTGGCTCAGAGAATAAAGCACTAGACTTGAAGTTAGAAAGACCTGAGTTCAGATCCTGCCACAGACTCTTACTATGTGACCTGGGCAAGTCACTTAACCTCTCTCTGACTCAGTTATCAGATCTACAAAAAGAGGACAATAGTAGCACCTACCTCATAGGGCTGTTGTGTGGGTCAAAATAACATGTATGGGTCTTTGCACACTTAAAGTGCTACAGAAATTCTAGCTCTTAAGAAGCAGCTAGATGTATTTCAGATAGAGCACTAGACTTAGAGTCAGGAAGACATACGTTCAAGTCCTGCCTCAGGCACTTACTAGCTGTTTCACTTATCCTCTCTCAGTATCAGTTTCCCCATCAGTAAAATGGGGATAATAATAGTACCCATCTCATAGGGTTGTGAGGATCAAATAAGATATATATGTGCATATTTTACAAATAGGTAAAGCACTTTGCAAAACTAAAAGTGCAATATAAATGCTGGCTATTATTATTTTATGGAGGAAAAACCCAAGGCCCAAAGAGGTTAAACTTGCTCAAAGTCACAGAAGTAATAAGCAGCAGAAGTGGGATTTGAACCCATGCCATACTTAGATCCCATACTCACTCTACTTGACTTTACTGCCCTTAAGAATCCAATTCGATTGAGTCTTCTACCCATCACTTACTAGCCATGGGATATTGACCAAATCACTGGTCCTCCTTGACTTCAGTTTCCTCCTGCATAAAGTGTGTGTGATAATACTTGTACTATCCAACCCACAGGGTTGTGTGAGGCGAGTTAGACCATGTCACCCTCATGGTTGTGACACTCCATCCATTCCACTGGCTCCCTCTGGTCTCTAGGATCAGATATAAAATCATCTGTGTGATCTTTAAAGCTTTCCATAAAAGACTTACATGAACTGATGCAAAGTGAAATGAGCAGAACCAGGAGAACAGCGCACACAGTAACAGCCACATTACACAATGACCGACCTTGATAGACCTAGCTCTTCTCAGCAAGACAAAGATCCCAGACAATTCTTAAGGACTCATGATGGAAAATGCTATCCACCTCCAGAGAAAGAACTGATGGAATCCAAATGCAGATAGAAGCATATTTTTTCTTTACCTTTTAATTTTTTCTTGTTTTTTTTTGTCTGTGTTTTCTTTTACAACATGACTAACATGGAAATACGTTTTGCATGACTGTCCATGTATAACCTATGTCAAATTGCTTGCCTTCTCAATGAGGGGGGAAGAGGAGGGAGGGAGAGAATTTGGAACTCAACATTTTAAAAAACAAATGTTAAAATTGTTTTTACATGTAATTGGGGGAAAATATTAAATTTAAAAATATTAAATGTAAAGCCTCTCATAACTTAGCCCCTTCCTACCTTTTTCCTATCTTTCTTATTTCTTACACCCCACCTCATCCCCCACATACCGTGTGCAATTCAATGACAGTGCCTCCCTTTCCAGACTCTATATTTTCACTGACTGTCTCCTATGCCTGGAATGCTTTCTCTCCTTGTCTCCACTGCTTGACTTCCCTGACTTCCTTCAAGTCCCAACTACAATCCCACCTTCTATAGGAAGCCTTTCCAGATCCCCTTTAATTCTAGTTGCTCTAGGTCTTTCTTCTGTTGATTGTCTCCAACTGATCTGGTAAGCATCTTGTTTGTACATAATTGTTTGTATGTTGTCTTGTTCATTAGACTGTGAGCTCTTTGAGAGCAGGGACAGCCTTTTTTTTTTTTAACCTTTCTTTGTGTCCCCAGTTCTTCACATGGTCAGTTCCTGGTACATAGTAGGTGCTTAATAAATGCTTGTTGACTGAAACTATAAAATAGTATATAAATGTAAGCAGTTTATTGCCCCATTTGAAGCAGATTCTGCATTGACATCCTGGGGAAAGATGCATAGAATTTGCTTCTGGTGTCTCTCTACCCTTTATCAATTCTTTCTTCCCCTAGGTCCCTATAGTACCTCATGCTTCAGATAGCTGTCCTTCAAAAAAAAAAAAAGGTAACTTGTCTTGTCTCTTAAGAACCCTATCTACTAGATAAGCACTAACTAATTGAAGAGACTAGTCTCTGCTGCTGGTCCAGGAGACATATCACAGTCTTCAGGTAATGGAAGAGCTATCAGAGGACAGAAGGGACAGACTTGTTCTGACTGGTCCCCACAGGTAGAATTAGGAACAAAGGAGAAAAGTTGCCAAAAGGTGGGTTTTGGCCCAGGATAAAGGAGAATTTTCTAACAATCTGAGCTGTCCAACAATGTGAGCCTCAGGCAAACAGTGAGTGAGCTCCCTGTGTCTAGGAGGAGTTCAACACAGACAGGCACATTCACAGACTCACTCTCACACAAAGACACACACACACACATACACACTCACAGATATATGAAGATGCATACCCCCAGAAACAGACAAGAGGCAAAAAGACAAACCCAGGCACATAAAGATGCACAGATAAACACACAGACACAAAACCAATTGTTACTAAGGTACAAGTACACAGATATATGCAGAGACAGTTACAAACATACATACTGACAGGCACACAAAGATATACATAGATGGAAAGATACATAAATACAGACATACACACAGAGACAGATGTACTCATATGCAGATAGATAGTTACACACAAGCAGACAGAAAACAAAGACACAGAGATATACAGACATACATAAAGACAGACACATATAGGGGTGGCTAGGTGGCACAGTGGATAGAGTACCAGGCCTGGAGTCAGGAAGACCTGAGTTCAAAACTGGCCTTAAACACTTACTATCTAGGCAAGTCACCTAACCATATTTGCCTCAATTTCCTCAACTGTAAAATAAGCTGGGCAAGGAAATGGCAAACCATTCCAGTATCTTTTCCAAGGAAACCCCAAATGTACTCATGAAGAGTCAGACACAACTGAAAAATGACTTAACAACGAAACATACAGATCGAATGACACAGAGACAGTCATGTCCACATATACAGATATACACTGATGAGCAGGTGCCCAGAGAAAAATGCACACAGAGGCACATACAACTACTGACCTAAACAAAGAAAAATAGACAGAAACCATTACAGAGACAGACAGACAGGAAGAACTCCTCTCTATCCCCCACCAGGCACAATAGAAAACTATACACAGACTCAGACAGAGACAGATGTCCACAGGAATAGAATCACACAGACCTGAAACTCTACACAAAGAAAAAGAGACCCACATAAGCACATATAGAAATGACACAGAAAGATGAACAGAAATAGATCCAGAGACCCACATAACAGACACAAACGCAGAGATGCAATAACACAAAGATATCTCCATGTAGAGATGTGCAACTAGGAAGATATACACAGAAAGATACATGTACACACACAGAAATACAAATACCACTATAGACACTGAGATAACAACAAAAACAACTAACATTTATGTAGTGCCTACTAGGTGCCAGACACTTTGCTAAGCACTTTACAATTATCTCATTTGATCCTCACAACAACCCTGGGGAATAGGTGCTACTATTAGACCCATTTTGCCAATAAGAGAACTGAGGCAAACAGAGGTTAAGTGACTTGTTCAGGGTCACACAGCTAGTCAGTGTCTGAGACTGGATTTGAACTCAGATCCTCTTGATTCCAGTCCCAGTACTCTATTCACTGCATCACCTAGATGAGCCTTATAGATACATACAACCAGAAGAAAACACAAAGACACACATGGAGATGGATACAATGACACTCTCTCTCTCTCTCTCTCTCTTCCCTGCTCTGCTGGCCTTCATCAGGGGGCAAACACTTGCTTTGAAAACTCAGCCCCCCACACACTCCCTCCCATCCCACTATTTTGCAGAACTAAGCAAGATTTCTTTCTCTCTTTCTTCCCGCCAGGGCCTGACACATTTTTCCAGGAAGAAGAAAACTGGAATAATGACAAATAACTCTTGAAGCTGGAGCTGAGAGGGCACTTTTGTAGCTGCTCTTGGTTGGACTGGAGGGGAGGCCTCTCGTACTTGATGGCATGTGCTAGGGAATTGGCTCCCCATGAAACCTAGATCCAGGAGGTACCTCAGAGATGGCTAGAATTGAAAGGGACTTCAGGATTCAATCATCTAGTACAACCTCATCATTTTACAGAAGAGGAAACTGAGATAAACAGGCAAGAGTGGAAGAGCCACTTCTGACCCCAAGTCCAGTGCTTGCTTTTACTGTCCCTTACTGCCTGGCCACCATACACTACAGAGACTTGGAAGCTAAAATTCTTTTTTCTCCCTTTGCAATGCAGACATTGCTGTGGCAAACAAAAGGGACAGTGGGGGAGGAACCAGGCACAGGTAAAGACCCCTAGAAGATGGGGTAGAACTGGCTTATGGGGCCTTCTGCATTAAAGAGAGCAAAAGTGGAATGGATGGCCATTTGGGAGAAAATGGGAAGGCCTTTGCCTCAAAACACCCATCCCTACCTCTCTAACTTATGGCTGAAATTCCACTATTAATTCTTCATTCTTTTGGCACAAGATTCTGTTCTGTGTTATGATGCAAATTCCCCTAAAAGGGGGTTACATGTCTAGTCCTTATCAGTTACGCACACTTGAGTGTGAGTAAGTTTATCAGGGGGTTTTCTGAGAGAAGAATTTGATAAGGCAGAGGAATGCAAAAGCTAGATGGTACCAGGGGACCTGGGGTGGGGGGTGGTTTTAGAAAATACAAATTTCACAATTTTGCCTGATAAATAAGATAGATAGAGCTCAAATAAGAGCCATAGAACTTTAGAGCCTACCTAATCTAAACCTCTCATTTTACAGAG